TGCTGCAAAAAATAGGTCCGATCTCTTCAATCAAGCCCCCCTGATGCTTCGATTTTCCCAAATTTTGGTCCCTGGTCATGTTTGACAAGCATGTTTCACGAGAATGATTGACAATTGGGAGGACCAATAGTCTTGATGATCCACCTGGAAGTAGAAAATCCTCCTGCATACCTTTTAACCTAAAGGACAAATAATATATATATTAATTTTGTTACAACATTCCTTATCAAAGACAAGGAGCAATGTCTGTTTTTTTGTCCGGGCATCCAATCAAATTATTTGGATTTGAATATTCATCAGTTCCTCAAAATAAAAAAAAATATGATAATTGTCATAATGGTGTGGTTCAGGTTAGGATATCGTGCTCAAGATCCGCCTCAAAGCTCAGGGCCGCTGCAGTTCAAACACAACTAAAAATATATTAGCCATGTCAGCGTCTGTATAATACTTTAATGAGCGGGTTGGGGGATATAGGAAAAAGAATCAAAATGTAAATACTGCAAAGAAAATCCTTCTGAGATTCTTTCATTTAACACTTTTCACTTCTCAGCAAGAAGGACGAGTTTGAAGGTTGATCCAATAGCCAAAATTGTTCAGCTTTGGCAGTCCAGACCGAGCCGAGCATATCCATTGTCTGTCATTGTCTGTTTCTATTGTATTCATGAAAAAAAATATTTGAAAAAACCATGAGGAATTTCAGGCAAAAACATGACCCCGATCCTGTCTGTGGAAATGTATTTGTACTTCAGAAGTAAAAGGATCAGCAACATATTTGGGCATTTCTCTGGTCCGGTTTTGCGCAGTGGACGACCTCTCATGATGCTTTGCGCCAAATACTAACGAGGACACATGTGTGGCTCTCATGCAGGTGCGCCGAGGGGTGCTCATGACCAATCAGACAGAGCAGGAAGAACACGAGCAGAGTTTGTTGCACTAATGTGTGGATTTAAAGAAAACCAATGGATTAAACAAGAAAAAAAGTTCAGGAAGACAAGGGACACTGAAATCACCACAAAATCCGACCTTTATGAAAGCTGTATGTTCTCTGTCAGGTTCTCTGTCAGTTGAGGTCGAGCTGTTTTAGTCTACATTGAGTTCTAGGGGAAAATACCTGGGTAGCCCACGTGAATTTAGTCTTACTTAGTGTGCAGTACCACGGGGAGGCCCTGAGCTCATGGGTCCCTCAGCTATAAGCTAGTAATACCCTATCCAGTTATTCAGTTATTATTATAGATCCATGGTTGCTGCCTGTATGTGTCATGCTTGATGAAGCTAGCCATGGGCACATCACTGACACGCATGTCATGTAATCCACCCAAATCGATTGTTAATCTGGATCGTGTTTTGTCAGTTGCACATCGTTACTCCTACACAACTGGAATAGCATTGTCCTTCTCAAAACGACATTTAAGCTAACGGCAAATCGATACGGCTATAGCTAATTGGAGCCCACTTTGGCAGGTAGCCGTCGCTTCTCCCAGCGACAATCGAAAAAGCAATTACAGGAACACAAGACGCGCAATTTCAGCCGGAGCTTTTATGTGAACTAAATGGATCTCCAATAAGTCAGAGCAAGTATTCGCTGATCTGACCCGCTCCTGATCTGCTTCCATGTAAAAGCAGAATGTCTAGAGAGGCCTTAAGTTACTATAGAACAAATTTAGGTCTAAAAAGTACACAAAGGGCACATGTTGTCCTGGAAATCATTGATTTGACAGATGGAAGTTTGTAGTTGGCTTCTAGATCCAAGTGATGGCAGCAGAACAATCTTCGCTCATGGTTCACTTGCACAAACAGCAGTAATCGTTCGGCAACATTGTGGAAACTCAATGTGGGTCTCCCTGAGGTTTCTTAATTTTCTCCCACCGGCGTTTAAGAGTCTTTCCTTGCTGATCCATGAGGGTCTAAGGACAGCAGTGATAATCCAGGACTCTCGACATTCTTCCAGAGTCCTGCCCCAACGTAAAATGTCTCACCGACCTGGCTTCGTAAAACGTGTGTAACTGCCTCAGCTGGTTCTACTATTTTTCGCAGAGACATTTAGCCCAATAAACATTTAGGCATTTCATCTGCGAGAAAAGAAATGGACAGATTAAATTTTCACTTGTGATATGTCGTCTGGTGTAAGCCAGGCTATGTTACAACTGTGTTTCTCATAAATCAGATTCAGATTCATTTATTTGCCATTTGCAGTAAAACCACATTGGAAAAATCAGACCTGGAGTTTCTACACTAATATCAGGAATTCTGGCACAGGTCATTTTAAACTCCTCACCCCACCCCTTCTGCCTTAAAGTGATTGTCTGGAGTTTGTCAGAAAAAAGAGAGAGTACATGATTTGAAAAAAACGGCCCAAGCTCCCTCCCCCCTTACACATTTAAATGTTAATCGGAGAACACATTATACATACATTATTAATACATATGCACAGAGGTTTTCATAATTATCTGTTTACGTTTTCATGACAAAAATAATGTTTTAATGCACAAATAAAGCGGTCGGATATAGGTTCAGTATATAAATGATTATGGATATAGGTTCAGTATATAAATGATTATGGATATAGGTTCAGTATATAAATGATTATGGATATAGGTTCAGTATATAAATTATTATGGATATAGGTTCAGTATATAAATGATTATGGATATAGGTTCAGTATATAAATGATTATGGATATGGGTTCAGTATATAAATGATTATGGATATAGGTTCAGTATATAAATGATTATGGATATAGGTTCAGTATATAAATGACTAACTCAGCGCAGATGTTCAGAATTCTTTGTTCAGTTTTAATGTAGTTCCAGAGCCTAATGGAGGCTTGATTCGGAGGCTCCATGAAAACAAACAACTGAGCATGAGCAGCTACGAGTATGAGCGCCAATGATTGACAGCCCTTGGCATCACTTGATTGGTTAAAGTGGACGGCATCGTGGATTTTAAGCTATCCATAATATTAGAATTCATAAAATTACTTATTATTATCAACATTTAAGGCCAGTAGGTCAATTTAATACAATTCTTAACATTTGTAATTCATTTAGAGTTCCATCACCTTAATGCTCTGTTTTCAACCTTGAGACCATGGCGTTATGGGCAGACCTTGATCAGTTTTCAATGGCGCGCTTTTTTTGCCCTTTTGTTGTAGTTGTGGATGAGGTTCTTCATCCTCTCTGATGCTAAGGCTGCACATTCTTATTGGCAACAAGCTTCCAGTTCCAGTTCATTCCTGAGCCGCCTTGCATGAACTGCAGTTTGAGAGTGACAGTACCATTTCTTCTTCATAACACTGAAGTAGAAATTATAGTGACCCCAGATCCCAGACCATCCCAGGTGTCCAATATGCCTTTAAATTATGACTATAAGTGTCAAATAAAACAGAAATATCTGATGTCTATGTAAGTTCTGTCTGTATAAAGCAGTAGGAAAGTTTTACGTCTACCTTCTTTTCCAATTGAATATATACAAATTTTTTTTCTTTAAAAAAATGTGAAATAGAGACTTCAACATAACCACATCTCCCAAAAGCGGCTCAAATTCCCTCCTCTATTCTGGAGGTAAAGTGACCACAGGTGTTTGTCTGTGAGCAACATGGGAGAATTTGGATACGTCTTCAGTAAATGTGGACAATTCATGATTCAATGTTGGAAAGATGCATCCAGGCGGTGATCCGGAGCAGATTATTATAAAAAAAATAATGTGTCTCTTGTACTTTTATAATTGTTCATCAATTTTAACATATTCATAAACACATGAGCAGTGATGGGAATAACGGCGTAACTAACGCCGTTACTTTTTTCAGTAACGAGTAAGCTAACTAATTACTTGGACTGTAACTATAACGCCGTTATCATTTCCGACATCCCGTTACTGCGCGTTACTCAAGACGCACAACGAACTTCTCTTTTTACTTCGATAGGACTCGTGCGTGTTGTCATGAGAAGGGAGGATGAGAAAACCTCTCAGCAATAATTGGCTGATGTAAAACATATTTCCTTTACAATCTACATATCTGCAGTTGAGAGGATGCTCATAAATTGTGTTTTTGAAACAAATGGGTCTTAATCACACTCTACCACGGCTTGTATTACCGTGAGGCCTCAGAGGAGCGCATGAGAGCGCAGAAGTCGGCTGCATACAATTCCATCGATAAGCTCCTTTCTCCTCCTGGTTTATCTGCTTAGGGCAGCAACAGGTTTGGCTAACATACATGTAACACATTTTAAGATAATTTAAAATGCACTTAGGGTAATTTTTCAATGACTATAGGAATGATAAGAAAGAGAGGGGAAGTGTAATGCCGCGTTCAGACCAAACGCGATTTGGGCGGCGAGAGCGTCAGGATTACATTGACAATACATGGGGGACGCGCTTCAGGGAGCGGCGAGCGATCAAGCGGCGCGGCACGACCGGCACGCGCGGCGAGTCTTCAAGCGTTTTGAGCGATGTGAGCGGTGGACGCGATGTGAGCGGCCGACGCTGGAGTTGAACATTGTTGAACTTTTTCGCTCAGATCGCGAGCGTCGACCAATCAGGAGCTTTTCTCCAACAGAGACCAAGTGACGTCACGATAGGAGAAGACAAACATTCTACAACATGGAGGAGAAGCTGGTTGTTGCTGTCGCCGCTCACTCCGAGCTGTACAACCCCGCGGAGTACAGCTACCGTGACAGGCCAAAAAAGGACCTTGCTTGGAGGAGGGTTAGTGAGGATATTGGTGTCCCGGGTAAGTTTTCTCTAACTTTTACAACAGTATGTTTCCCCGCTAGAATTCTGTAATGTTCGAGCAACTACTAGCTTCCCGCTCATGTTTTGATTCAGTGGATGTATGCAAAAGGCGGTGGAAGAGTCTGAGGGACACCTATGCAAAGGAGTGCAGGAAGGAGAAGGACAGGAGAAAGAGTGGTGCAGGAGCAGGGACAGCGCAGCAGTGGAAGTTCCTAACGGTCATGTCCTTCCTCGAGCCCTTCTTGTCTCCCCGTGAAAGCTCGGGCAACATGGCGAGGCGAGGGGCCGAGGAGGAGCCGGTCGTAGGGGACGACCACCCAGGAGAAGCAGCAGCAGCAGCAGGACTGTCAGGAGGTGAAGGTCTGTGTCATGCAGCAGACCTCAAACACCAATTATATCGTGTTTTTACCTCCATTTTGCTGGCTTTTACTTATATATTGATTTCTATTAATTAACTTATTTGACAGTTTGTTTTTAAATGACAGCCAGGTGAAACTAGGCTTTGCCTGTTATTTTTAAACAATTTTTGATCATGTGTGATGTGAAACTTCACTGTTCCCTTTCAAATGAACTAATGTAATGTATAAACCTCAACATACACATGCTATGAAATAACTGTTTGTTTTGTTCTTGCCTGACAGACAACACCACTCAAGGCTCAGATAACCCTTTGCCTGAGCCTCCTGCTGCTGCTGCTGCTGCTGCTGCTTCTTCTGTGAGGGCTGACGCTTCCCCTGCTTCTGCACCCACAGGTATTTTTTAAATTATTAATATTACAGGACAGTGTTACTGCATAATACACCAACATTGTCCCAAAGGCTATTATATCACTATAGACCATTGACAAATGTACAGTGAAACCACAAGATGTCAAGGCACTACAGATGATGAGCATTTGTGCTTTGACCTGATCCAATGTATCTTTACTCGATAAAAACAACACTAAAATACCACATACAAAAATGTACTGAACAAATACATGCAATGGTTGCCACAAGATGACCGCTATAGTGTTTGATGCTATCTTTATATTTTGTGGCGAACTATGTTTGACTTGTCAACATTCTCATGTCCCTGTGTTCTTTGAAGGCCCACAAAGGAAGAGAGCTCGGCAGAGGCCCACGACCTCAGAGCCGGCGGAGTGGGAGCGGGAGATCCTGTCGACTCTTCGGGCCAGATCAGCAGCCGCACCACCCCAGCCCTACTCTGACGACCAGCACTTCCTGCTCTCTCTCCTTCCTCTCCTGCAAAAGGTGCCACCTCAGTCAAAAGACTATGTGAAATTAGAAATACACAAATTGCTATATAGAAGCAGCACCGTTCTGCTTAATTTGGAGCCATTGGACAGCACAGAGTCGTAGTTTTTTGACTGAAGGCGACATCTTTTGCAGGGGAGGAAACAGACTTGTGTCCTTCCCTCTTCCACTGCTCCTCCTCCAAGCAAGGTCCTTTTTATTTGTTTATATGTACATTTTATTTATTTGTTTTGATGTACATTTTATTTGTTTGTATGTACATTTTATTTATTTTTTATATTTGTATTATTAAAACATTTTTCAAAACACTAAATTGTTCTACTTCAAGCCCATTATTACAAAGTCATAAAATACTGACAAAAGGCTATTTCCATTAATTATATGTATTTAGCAAGAGCAGACTGGGTTTATAAAAGAAAAAATAACTTACAAAAACATAGGCAAGAGCGACAAAGTTGTTGACTGTATGTTTTATTCATTTCACCTGTTTGAACAACCTTATTTGGGACAAACTTGAATGTGCACGTTGTGATTCATCCGAAGTCAGATGGAGCAGTGCGGTCTGGCAGCCCTTACCTACAAACAGAAGGAATACAGGTGAACAGTTTGGACTATGACCAGGAAACATGTCGACATTTTAATAATCAAGAGGCTCAGTATATTACATGTTTGAAATGAAGTGACTCTTAATTTTTTGTGGGTGGCTCTTAAAAGAGCCGTTGTGGGTCAGTCCTGTGGTGGACATGATTACTGCCATGGCACTGCTCCCTCCTCACTGAAGTGGGCCATGAAAACTTCTCTTGTGCCCACTGCTTCTCTGGTCGCGTTGTTGGCTCCCATCCGCAGCACACCTGGAAGTGGTGCTTCTCCATGAGCTGCAGCTCCCCTCTGTGCAGGCACCTGCCCATCTCCAGCCATCCTCATGAAGTTGTGAAGGACACAAGTGGCCTTCACGCACTTCTCCACAACTTCAGGGACAATTTCCAGCTGACGCCGAAACATTCTCCACTGCGCTGACCATATGCCGAACGCATCCTCCACCACCAGCCGGGCCCGGGAGAGGCGGTAATTAAAATGCGCTGCTCTGGGGTGAGGCCACCACGTCCTGGGAAGGGGCGCATTAAATTCCTTTGCAGGGGAAAGGCCTCATCCGCCACAAAGACATGGGGCTGGGGTCCTCTGTGGTCAGCTCCAGGTATGCACTGGTCAGGAGGCAGGCCGAGTGTGCCCTCACGCAGAGCCTGACCGAAGGCAGAGTTGGCCATGATGCCTCCATCGCTGGTTCTGCCGTACCCTCCCACATCGATGACCCGAAACCTGTACTGGGCATCCACTACAGCAAGGAGAACCAACGAATGGTGCCCCTTGTAATTAAAAAACAAGGACCCAGAGTTGGGGGGTGCCTTCAGGGCCACATGTTTCCCATCAATGGCACCACAGCACAGAGGGAAGTTCCACCTGGCCTCGAACTCCTCCGCTATCGACCTCCACTCCTCTGCTCCAGGCACAGCCATGAACTCTCCCACGAGGCAGTCCCAGATGGCTGCCACCACATCTGGGATGAGCCCGGAGACAGTGGAAATGCCCACCCTGAAGCTCCCTGCGATGCTCCTGTAGGAGTCCCCAGTGGCAAGAAATCTGCAAATAATATTGTACATAACAATTAAAAATAAGATAATGTATGTGACTAGTCTTGATATTCAATATAAAATTAGTAACAAGCAGACGCCATATTGTTAAATATAGTAATTTCTGAGCTATTCAAATGTGAATAGGTAGAAAAATTGCACACTTTGGAAGTATTTAATAATTGAGAATGGGGTAAAACTACCGTAGGCAGATGGACAGGCGCTCTTCAGGTGGAATTGAGCGCCTGTAGTTGGTGTCCTGGTAGGTGATGCGAGCACCGATGCGGGTCAACAGGTCGTCAAACTGGGCCAGGGAGAGACGGAAGTATCGCTGAAAGCGACTCTCATCCGAGCGCAGCTCTTGTAGCAAATGGTGAAACTCACCAAACTCCCTACGCCCGCGGACAATCGGATGAATCCACACACGTCGCCGTTGCGCCCTTTGACGACGTTGTCTAGCACGGTTCAAAAGGCAAAGCAAAGCTACCTGCTCTATGTCGTCCATGTTGAACTATGGCAATAGAGAAGCCCCTCCCCAAAGCGCGCTGTTTTCTGATCGGCCGCGCGTGCCGCGCGGCAGAGTGTTTGGTCCAGCGTCTGGAGTCAAAAAGCACAAGCATTGCGGCACGCGCGGCACGGGCGATTTCGCCGCCCAAATCGCGTTTGGTCTGAACGCAGCATAAGACGGTTGATTTTAGAAATTGGATGCACCCGGCTGCAGCTAGCAAAACAGAGGAGTTTACGGAGGAGACACGCGTTTTGTTTTACTTTTTAAAACTCATTGGACTCATTTCCAAATGGAGGATTACATATCTTCGTTCAAACTATTATCTGGACTTAAACACGGAACTGGTCTGAACTGAAGTGGACTGTGCAGGTCATTTATAAGGTAAGACCCATAACTCATAGTTTTGCGTTTTGTATGAACAAACAATGCGGGCATGAAACATATTCTGCTGTAGCCAAATAAATTGTCCAGTTGATTTATATGATATATATGTTCATCTGATTGGGCTGAAGTCAGTGCTTCACCGGTGTTTCCACATTCACAGTGGAGCGTGTTGGTGTTTAGTGCTTACAGCACAGAGAGAGATGGAGAGTGAACAGGTTAGATGGAAATATTGGCGCTATTTCAGACTCACTGAGGTTAAAGGTAAAACTGCGCACCTCAAGTGCACATTATGTTCCAGAACAAAACGAAAAAGTAACGCAATAGTTACTTTTACTGGTAACTAGTTACTTTTATTGTGGAGTAACTCCGTTAGTAACTCAGTTACTTTTTGGGAGAAGTAACTAGTAACTATAACTAATTACTTTTTCAAAGTAACGTGCCCAACACTGCACATGAGTGAGAGAAAAGTGTTAATGTCACCATGAACAAGCTCCAAAATATGAAACAGAACAATGAAATCTCTGGCTGGATGTGTGTAAACCTTTCCAGATGTATGCATTTCTCCCAAGGACAAAGCTGTATTCTGTGTCCATTCCTTTATCCCTCCCTTTCTTCGCCTGTGTGGGGTGGCTTTGAAAGGCAGGTGGGATCAGCAGACAGCCAGCTCGTCACACCGCCGGGAGCTCTGTGCCGTGCGTGTGAGAACTCCTTTCACTCAGCACATTTGGCCGGGCTGCTGGATGACAGGGTTTGCACTTCCCCACCTGTGCGAGCTGTCCAAGGCTCTCAAAGACACTCCACACCCGCCGGGCTTTGGTTAGTAATGAAAAAAATGTTGTTTAAATGGAGCTGAAGGGCTACAAATTCTACCAAAAATCACAATCTAAACTCAATGCATTTTATTGATGAGCCACATAGGTTTACTTTAAATATTTAAAAGGGGTATATTTATAAAGCGCTAAATGCCATCCACAGCTTTTGTCAATCTATATGTTTTCATTTTTCATGAGAATGTTTCCAAAGAACGAGTGAAAACCTAATTTAGTCCAATTTAATCTGATTGCATGTACAGTAGGTGGCATCAGGACACAGACACTCAGGAAATCAAACTATTTCTATTGATATTAATCTACTATGAAATGAAAAAAAAATGAAATGTCACCAGGTTAAGATTAAGAAATCCTAACCACACAGACTGGATACTATTGAGACAAGTAGGATGCATTTAAGAGCACAGGGAATGAGTGTATTTGTATAGTATGTATTTGGCCCATTGCTTAATAATACTGCATCCGTTTTATATAGCGCTTTTTGGACACTCGTGATGACGCTTTACATGTCATTATTCTTTCACTCCAGACACTGTGGTGATAAACTACTACTGTAGCCACAACTGCTTGTTGTTCCCAGAGGTTAAGTATCTTGCCAAGGACACAACAGCAGCAGACATCAATGGGAGACGGTGGAGAAAGTCTTGTGGTGGGCTCGAACCCACTTCAGGATCAAAGGCAAATGCTCTTCCAAAGGAGCCTCTGTCGCCCCTTTGATTGTATAATATAAATAGACATTGCTAACAAGCTCAATGTAGCCTAAGTTTTGCTTCAACAGTTTTGCTTTGGCTCCTATTGACAGAGGAGTAGACCATAAAATCTTGAAGGTATATTGATGGATTTCTCTACATTTTAGGAAAGAACCGCCCACTCCACTTTTTGAAAAACATCTCTTGTCTTGACGAGCACGTATCACCAGAATGATTGACAATTAGAAGGGCAGATAGTCTTGATGATCCACCTGGAAGTAGAAAAATCCTTCTATATACCTTTAAGGTATTAATTAGTACTGTTATAACCTGGAAGAATGCATCTCTCCTTTTGGCTAATGTTTATTGTACACTGCCCATACAGTATATAAATGTGATAAAGGTATTCAGGTTGATTTTGCCTGAGGTTTTGCAAAGAGAAAAAAGTTTTACACAGTGCAAATCTTATGTTCTGTTTTGGACTTCTTCTCAGTTTCCTTTAGAACCACTTTTCACTTTTGCTGTTCATTCTTTTTTGCTGACATAACAAAGAACTAACACTAACCAGCTATTGACCCCTTGCATGTGACGTCCCGGCCACGCCCACTCTCCATGACAGACGGCAGAAGTCTAACTGCGAGCCTACGGACACCTGACCAAAACAACCTGTTTCAGTGCATTACAGCCAAAACTGTGACATTTTGCAGTGCGGTTGATTATACTAACAGGCAAGGACATAAGCTTTTTTATCTGATACCTGCTCGTCATGAAGACAGAAGACGACGATGGCCAGCGGCAATCAACCAAAAGGACTGGGACCCATCCAAGTACTCCCTAATATGCAGTGAACACTTTTTACAAGATAAAGCAATCACAAGTTTGTATTTATTTTATTTCCATTAATTTGGAGGACAATGACACACGTCAAACGTGTCTCTTACTACTGTCCTGTATGTGCGCTGCAACATTGACATTTTTATCTTTTAAGTCAATTGCGTGTTTCACTATTTTCCTCTCCGTCAGTACGTATCATGTTTGGCTGTAGACAGAAAAGCCACAGAAAAGTGGACTATTGCTAATGCTGCCAGTAAAAAGGTACATATAAATCTGCTCCAGTGTGAGGGGATGCATTGTTAACGATAATGATAAACATCATGTAGGGTGAATTCGGGCAAAAATAGACATTTTATTTAATCGATAAAATTGACTGTGGGGAGAAGGTACGGGTCAACATCCAGTTAGGCGATACTTAACTTCTCCAAATACCACTCTTTGTGAGCCCTGACCTGATGTCCTACTTCCACCTATAACGTAGAGCAAACATTCACTTGAAATTCTGTGCCGCTCTGACACACTCACACACGCTCACACATGCACACACACACACGCTCACACACTTGCACACACACACACACACATGCTGTTCAGTGTGACGCAGCACTCTCACTCAGACTGACGGACGGGTCCCCTGGTGCGGGCCCTGGCCTGTCCTTTACCCTTGTCCTGAGTGTCTGTCCTGATGCCACCTGTCCCATATCAGCCGCTCACTCACATGTAAACCGGATCTCTGGGAGTGCCAGGCCCTGCTATTACACATGTAAGCAAGTCATATTTATCTATATAGCACATTTTACAGATTAATGCCCTCCAGTCAACAAGCATTCACTTACACATAAACACCCACCGGAGCAAACCTACTCAAAACTCCACAGTGTGCTTCTCTGCATAGGACAGTCTTGTGTGTCTGGTTCCGACCACGCCCACTCAGGAAGAAACGATGGCATGGTAATGCTAGAAATCCCAGAGCAGTCAATTAGACAGCTTTTAGTTTTGAACCCGTAATTACCCCAAAGCTTTGACTTTTCTCTATGTGCAGTTTATTTTTATGTCATTACATTTATTAAATCACTTTTTATTTTTGAAATGTTAGTGACATCTATCTAACTTTTAACTGAATTATTTAATACATTCAAACTGAATTATTTAATACATTCTAACTAAGATTCAAATAAGGGCCATTTTTGGTTGGCAGTAGAAAGGTGCTAGTTCTGGATTGGCCCTGGACTAGTTCTGGTCCTGGACTGGTTCTCAGGAAGCAATGGAATTTCCCAGAATTCCGTTGGTTTGAATGGGAGCACATAGCACATGGTGCTATGTGAACTGGGTGCAGCTCTGACTGCCACCCCCCCACCCAGAAATGGATTAAGGGGAAAAAAATGGATGGATGGATGGATGAATGAGAGCAGGTAAAATGGCAGTTCTGGGAGTTCTATAGTAGTAGTTTCATAATTGTGGGAATCCTCGTGTTAACAAAATCATTACATCTCAAAGTACCTTAGCAGTCAAACGAAGACAGAATCAACATTCTTGGTCCAAGTCTTCCATTTAGCATAATATGTTTCCTTAAAGACTGCATTTCTAAATCATTTCGACCCACGTCAAAGTGAGGAAGTGTGTGGCTGTTATCACCATCCTGCAAAGTGCTGCCTGCTCTCACTGCTTTCCTGCCTCAGCCCTCGCCTCTCGCCTTCTCCCGTTCTCCTGCCACAGTGTCATGGCGTCTTAATCCTCCTAAATGCCACTCTGAGATGCTGGGCCCTCTGCACAGATGCTGCCGATCTGTTTTTCCCGCTGTAATCTTCTTTTGTCCTATAGTGCCGGCTCAGACATGCACCGCTATCGCCGCTTGTAATCCGCTCCGTACACCAAATCGGTGTCAAAGACGTAGCGTGACGCGCGCTGCATGCCGGCGAGTCTTTCAAGAGATGTTGTCGTTTCGCATTTGTTGAATTTGTTGTTCTGCAGCCCCGGGTGTCTCTGAATAAAGCATATGTGTCTATAATACACCAGAGATTGGGCTCGGAGTGCGCAGTTGGAGGATTACACCAACCATGCATGTTTTGGACCGGGCGACTCCGAGCATTTCCCTGTGGGACACTGTCAGCACAAACCACACTGTTCTGTTATTTCTTCAACAGAGTTGAGGAGATATTTTCTGCCTTTTGAGATAAACGTGACTAGTTGGAGTTTCCCTAAAGTCAAATTATAAATGAAAACAAAGAAGGCAATAGATTCGACAGTAGTGATGTGTCAGTGGGATATCCAACCACCAATGCATTAACGAGGTTGGGACATTTTAAACCCTTAAAATGAAGAGTTTAAGTAAAGGCACAGAATTAATTTGCAGAGGATGAATTTGTTTAAAAAGGCAGAAAAGAGCTGCAAGAATTGTATAAATATTTTTCTTGCGCTGTTTTCATTTTATTTATAGTATTTTCCTTATTAACGGCATTATATTCTATTTAGTCTCAAATGTGTAATGTATTGGTTAACTCATTGACTGCCAGCCGTTTTTTAAGATTTCACTGACTTTCAAGACCCACAGAATATTATGTGTTATGACTGTGTGAAATATAAAACCAGATTCTGAAAGTCTGGACTGTCTACTTTCATCAGCAAAAATAAGTTTTCTTATAACTGGTTTTGTTCTTCAGTAATCTCCAGTTGAATAGAGGGAAGTTTGACAGAAATCTCCGACAAATACTTCAATGGCAGTCAGGCAATACAGAAAAAAGGGGACGATAATATTCTAAATCAAGTTTTGATGATATCGGCTGCAGAATCCTTTCATGATGCACAGTCGTAGAGTCTGCGGTGCATATGTTGCTTCACACTGGAAGGAAGTCAGAACCTAAAAAACTAAACTTTTGGAGCTGAAAGCAGGACAGTATTATGCTCCTGTTTCTCCATCTCTATGATCTGTCACAGTCCGTTGTGATGTTTAGAACACACCGTGGCAGCCATAGACAGCGGAAATGACTGTTAGTGTGTGACTGTAGTTAGTGTGTGACTGTAGCTAAATCCAGTGATTTGTGCTGGAGTTTTTTATTTTTTTTAATGTATCATGCCCTGTGGTAGGGTATTGAATATATTGTATGTACTCCTTTGTATTGTGTAGGTGGATTAATTGTATTGTTTCCCGTGAATCATTGTGCTGAATGAGTGAGGGGTGAGTGTGTACTTAGCACACACTCACTGTACTTAGCACACTCACTTAGGGCGGCACGGTGGCTGAGTGGATAGCACTCTCGCCTCTCAGCAAGAAGGTCCTGGGTTCGAATCCCGGTTGCACCAGGGCCCTTCTGAGTGGAGTTTGCATGTTCTCCCCGTGTCTGCGTAGGTTTCCTCCGGGTGCTCCGGTTTCCCCTACCACTAAAAATATGTACAATAGTTCTGGCATGTACCTCCTGTACTGGTGACCCTGCTCCCAAAAAAATCACAATTGTAAACCGCTTTGAGACTCCGATGTGCAGTGAAAAGGCGGTATATAAATAAAGATTACTTACTTACTTCATCCAACCCCTTTTCAATACAATACAATACAATACCATTTATTCTTGTATAGCCCTAAATCACAACAGCAGAGAATCCACATTTATGTCACACAAAAAAAACACTTGTGTATTGGTTCATAAGGAGACCAATGTCCATGAATGTTGATAAATGTCCATACAAGATGTAGAATGTTAGAGTGTCCTGGATCATCACCACAGTCCTTGTCAGATACTAACTGTCCAACAGAGCCTCCTGCATCGGCAAGGAAAAACTCTATAACCCAGTGGGAGAGAAGTGAGAAACCTCGGGGAGATCCACATTGAGAGAAGGATCCGCTCCACACAGGCGGACCGGCTGTAGATCCAGGACCTACACTATATGTATTCTGCAGGTTTTAGATTAAAAAAAAACAGCTAATCTTAAAACAATTCCACATTTGTTTTGATGAGAACCAATGCTGTTACATTTGTAAAGTGAAAGAATATTCATAGTTTTGCTCATTGATGCAGCGATCATAGTTGCTTCACCGTTCCACTGTGATAATGTGACTTCAATTTTCACGGCAGGAGCACGGGCCGGAGCCTGGGTCTGGGTAATGTAGCGGGATGTAAACCCAGTCCACTGTGCCGTAATCATGTTCCCCGCTCTGAATGCACACGCAGCACACAGGCCTCAACACGCTCATGACCAGGATCTGTGTGCATGAGAAAGTTTGGAGTGAGCACACAAAACTGAACTTCAAGCTGGGGTAATTCACGTTTGTTTTATCCCAACAGAAAGATTAAGATTAAAGAAGCTATACCCGATTTTTTTTATTTTTATGAGTTGATAAAAATGCGTATTACTACATACAAGTTGTATTATAATCCGTAATTTAATTGAAAATTCAGCTTGTGCATGAATTCAGGTGCTAAAAAGTGCTGAGTAGAGACTTAGCATGACGCTAGCTCTCCTCCAATCACAGAACAGGCTGCGTCCTCTAGCCTCTACAGGGCTGCTAAAAACAGTAGCATGTAGCCTAAACGACACCACAGTGAGGAAGAGAAGAGGGAACTAAAGCAAAAATATGATCAAAGAAGAAATCAAGCCCGGGTGAACATAGCTAGCTAGCTTACATCATATCCTCTGGAGAGACTTACAGTCTACGGGAGAGACTTGCAGGACCGCCTCGGACTATCTATGCTCGGACTACATTCGGACGCAAAAACTAGCAGTAATCTTTCAGTTATATATTTTGTTAGCAGTGCGTTGCTTTTGTACCATTTCATCAGTGATTGTTGTTACAAGAAGTTGCGCTAATGCTAATGTTAGCATATGTATCAGATCGCAAATAAAACTAGATGACTCCGTGGGCTGAGAGCGTAGGGGAAATAAGTAACCTCTGAGCGAGTGGAGGGGCGGGGCTAAACATTCAAACCTTGCAAAAACGGGTATAGCTCCTTTAAGAGATCTTTTAGCGGGGAAATTTCAGTTTTGCATCACAAGATATAGAACAGTAGGAATGAGGAGCACACGGCCAAGCCTTCAGGCCCAAAGGCCAATGCTCTACCAACTGAGCCACTGTCGCCCTTAGAGGTGACAGCGGCTCAGTTGGTAGAGCATTAGAAGTTTCTCTGTTTTATTTGGTCCAGTTTTGGTTAAGTCTAAACAATAAACACGTCTTGTTTTCAGCAAAATTACCCAAAAAATAATAGTGAAACTTGTGTCACATAAATGTCATGATAGAATACCTTCCTTTCTTTCTTTCGGCCCGCGACCAAGTTCCTATTTTGTTTATTCGGCCCAAGACCAAAATGAGTTTGACATCAGTTAGATTAGGTTATAGATTTATAGATTAGGTCATAATCTGAATATTCGTCATAGTCAAAGTTATTTTATTTTTACTTTTAAACATTTCAAATACCCGTACAACACAATTTTACAAAACAAAATAAAAGACACCGTTCTAAAAGTGGGCGGGAAGACATCTGTGAATTTCAAGATCACTGAAGAATCGTGGCATCTGTTTTACTCAAACCTACATGGGTCAGATGAAGCCGCGTGGTCCGTTACTATTGCATCATGTCTCCCTGATCATAACGAGCCAAATAATAGTGAGTCCTCTGCTGCTGCCAGCTCTTACATAAGCTCAGCCTGCAGTGTGAAGCTCCACTCTCCTGCTGCTACTGACACAATACTACTGCTGCTACTACTGCCACTGATGCTGCTGCTACTACTGCCACTGATACTGCTGCTGCTACTGCCACTGATGCTGCTGCTGCTACTGCCACTGATGCTGCTGCTACTACTGCCACTGATACTGCTGCTGCTACTGCCACTGATGCTGCTGCTACTACTGCCACTGATACTGCTGCTGCTACTGCCACTGATGCTGCTGCTGCTACTGCCACTGATACTGCTGCTGCTACTGCCACTGATGCTGCTGCTGCTACTGCCACTGATACTGCTGCTGCTACTGCCACTGATGCTGCTGCTGCTACTGCCACTGATACTGCTGCTGCTACTGCCACTGATGCTGCTGCTACTACTGCCACTGATACTGCTGCTGCTACTGCCACTGATGCTGCTGCTACTACTGCCACTGATACTGCTGCTGCTACTGCCACTGATGCTGCTGCTGCTACTGCCACTGATACTGCTGCTGCTGCAACCGATGCACTAGTACTGCTGCTGCTGCTACTTCTTTTACCACTGATAAAATTGTCATGGTTTAAGTTTATTTCCTGTTTTATTTTGTAATTTGTTCAAATCCTTGCTGGTTTAATTGTACTTCCTGTTTTCTGATGACCTGCCCCGCCCTCAAGTGTATCACCTGTGGCTCGTTAGACTGTCTTTTAGTTCCTGTATTTTAGTTCCTTTCTTTGGTCCTTCTTTGGTTACTTTTTATGTATCACTAGATTTTCATTTGTATTTTATTTTATTAAATCCATTATTTTTGCAGTTCTACATTTTGGGTTCTTTTCCTTTTGCCTCCGTGACAATAATGTTCCTACTACTGCTATTGCTGCTGCAGTGTGAAGCGGGCCGCATGTGGAAACAGCTCCTCTCTGCTATATTTCTACTGCTGCTGCTCCTACTTCTGATGCTAATGTAATGTAAAGTAAATGCAATAACTCAAGCAGGTGACATCACAGGTTTCTCACTTCCTACACTCTGGCTGATGAGTGGGTGAAAGTCCATTTGTGGCACTTAAATGAATGTGTGCTGGAGTGCGAGGTCAGCTGGAGAACAGGTGAGACTGTGGGTACACTGAAATATTCATCTGCAGCAGCATGCTATCAAACAAAATATGTCTCATGCATAAATCAGGACTTTCAAAAGCAGTTAAATCATGTCGCTCTGTAAAGATGTTTTAATGAAAGTCAGACAGTGATATGCGTTCACGGTCGTTCAAACTGAGGTTGCGTGCAAAGCATAGACTGTAAATACAAACGGACGTAGTCTTGCCAATCTCCATCGTTGAAAGTGATGCGCCATCACATTTTTATTGTCATTTCTTTGGAAGGAAAAAGGGTTTTCTTTTTGGAACAGGGCCTTTCTGAGTGGAGTTTGCATGTTCTCCCCATGTCTGCGTAGGTTTCCTCCGGATGCTCCAGTTTCTCCTACCACTAAAACACGTGAATATATCTCTGGCATGTGCCTCTTGTACTGGGGACCTTGCTCCCATCTCTGTGTGTAGTCCATCCATCCATCCATTTTATTCCTCTTAATCCATTTCTGGGTCAGGGGGGGTGGCAGTGAGAGCTGCACCCAGTCACAGAGCACCAGCCCCTCACTGATCCTCCTGCAGGTGGTGAGTCCACAGGAGCTGAGATCTTTCAGTGGGAGCTTGAAAAAGTTGCCTCCCAACAACTTCCTGAATTTTCTACCATTTTAGACCATTCCTCTAGAAGTAGGTGGTCACAAGTCTATGTGGAGTTGAGAGACAAATATCTACAATTGTAAGCTCTGTTACTCTGGTCTGTGATGGCGCTATATAAATAAAAACTTAGTTACTTACCACTTACTTTTGGTAGCCTTCTGCACTTAGAACATATGTAACTATTAATATTAACACAGGCTGATATTCATTGACCCACTTTCGTATACCATACCACCTCTGGGGAAATGATAATTGTAAAGGGCGCTTTATAAATAATTACTTAATCACTTACTTACTCAATCTAAAAATGAAGATCTATGTGTCCATGCCGTGTCTACAAAATATTTGAGGCACTCCAGCAGCCATTCCTTCCTTGTCTCTAACATGGAGTGACTTTTACAGCGGTCTACGGTCCATTGCAAAGTGTGCCATAATAGAGGAGCTCGCGGTATGCTGAGGGCCCTCGTAAATAATTGAATTGAAATTGGATTTATATATGAGGAATGCAGTGGCGCGCTTTTGGCAGCAGATAATGACAGTGTGATCTGTTTACATTTCAATACCAAATGCAATTCATTCATGAGAAAAAGGCCAGCACGTCAGCGGGTCAGGTTTGATTATCGAACATAGTCGTAACCAGTGGGAAATTACAAGACAGGGCTCCACTTAGAGAGGACGCATTGTGCTTTGGTCTCCTTCAGTTAGTCTATAGCAAACCTGCATATGTAACATAATGAAAATGAATGAATATCGATCTAATGCACACAATCTAAAACTGTATTAAGAGCCTAGTATTAGCCTCCATACACTTTCAGAGTAGTATAAAAATAAACTAAACCAAAGCTTGAACATGTCTGCACATTGTTGATTCCCAAAGGCTCTCATATTCCTTGCTGTTCATTTAAATTGATTCAGTCGGTGATTTAAGTGTTCCTGTGATATTTGAGTTTTCAAACTGCAGGTTTTTATCTCAGCGTTCCCATCAGGACTCACACTATGGGGTCTGGTATCTTCACGTTGAGCAAGTGCACTCATCGGCTTATCGTGCACCGGGCTGTCAGAGTGCGTGGTTCCAAGATCTAAGATGTCTATCCATCCGTTTTCATCCCCTTAATCCATTTGTGGGTCAGAGGGGTTGGCAATCAGAGCTGCCACACTATTTTCACAGCACCAGTCCCTCACCGATCCTCCTGCAGGTGGTGGGTCTATGGCAGGACGGCTTACCATCACTGACACCACACCCTTGGTTTTTCAGTGGGGGGGGGTTCAGGCAGAGTGGGGTTAAGTGTCTTGCCCAGGGACACATCGACAGCAGACATCAGTGGGAGTAGATGGTAGACCTCGTGAGGGGTTTGAAGACCAATGCTCTACCAACTGAGCCCCCCCAAACACTTCCAAAATCTATGTACAGTTTGATAAATTGTCCAGTGTTCACAGATTAGTGCCCGGCAGCAACTTTCCAACATGACATCATCAACATGAGACCTGACCCGACGCTTCAGCAGATCTCCAAAAAAGCACTGACAATGAATATATTCATATTTCAGGCCGTGTGCGGTTATGTTGAATACTCATGCTCAACCAAAGATGTATTACCAGATCTCCAGCTGTACCACAGACTGTCAATTGTGTCGTATTTCTTGTTGTTACATTTTATTAAGTTCATCTGTACATTTGTAAAGCTAGATCCTATCAGACCTCTTAAACTAAGCAGGGTAGGGCTTGATTTGTACAGAGATGGGAGACCTCTGGGAACATTGATTTCCATTGTGGGGCGGCAGCAGCTGTAAAGTGCCAAACAATCCTTTGCATTGCCTAGAATGAGTCTGGTGTGTGGGTGAATGGCTGGCGGTGGTCGGAGGGGCCGATAGCACATACTGGTGGCCTTGTTTTTGTCACTGTGCCCCAGGGCAGCTGTGGCTACAGTTGTACTTTATCACCCCTGTGTATGGAGTGAAAGATTAATGACATGTGAAGCGTCTTTGAGAGTCCTGAAAAGCGCTTATATTATTAACTTTTTATAGATTTTAATCTAATTTTCAATCCAACCCATAGACTAATAGTCATGGCCCGCCCGCAGATAAAGTCCTCTGAGTGAAATAATCCAACTCATCATCGCTAACCTTTTGCCTTTGTGAAGTAAAACCTCTTCTCTTCAATCTTGCGCTCTGGAATTGCCTTATTCGCTTTTCCATTACACAATTGGCAGCACACTTCTCCGCCTTCCTTCCTCACAAGTAAATGAAGCGCTCCCACACGACGACCCGCCGCTTCGCCCTGTCCTGACATTGAGCTAAAGCTGCAAACCTTCGTCTGAATACACATTGCGACGGTGGGAGCGGGAGTCCGTCATTAGCTCGGGGTAATCCTGCGCGACGCTGTTTGAGCACACAGAACACGTGACTCCAGCGTTGACACAGCAGCGGTGCATGTGGGTCTCTGTGGGGAGTGCACAGGGGCATTATGGGATATAGTCTTAATCCTCTGTCAGGTAGAAGGATTCATTTAGACCACCACAAGGTGTCTTCTCCAGTTTTCTTTAGCGAATTGTTTTCCTCTAATAGACCATTCCTCTAGAAGTAGGTGGTCACAAGTCGGTTTATTTGATCTCTCCAAAAAATAAATCAAGAGTTGATATTAAATATTTTAATGATGTTTTGTAGAGAGGAGGACACAGGCTGATCTTTGAGCTCTGGGGATATCAGAAACAAGGAGAAGTAGAATGCAGAGGATGAAGAAGCTTATCCAAGACCCTTAGCTGTCATAGATGTTGAGAACTGGGGGACGGAGACTTATGAGAACTGGGTCAGGACAGGATTTCTGGTGTCATTATCAATTGAAAGCCGAAAAACACGTTAATCGGAAAGGCTGTTTTTTTAGTCTGATAATTATTCACTAGTCACTCACTAATCACTAGTCATTTTACATATTATTATTATTACTGCATTACTACATATCCATTCATCTGATATCTCTGTCATTAACTGGTCACTACCTACTATTAGTATTGTTTATTCTGCTCATACTGTGTTCTCTGCTGTTAAAGTACAACATACACATCTGTAAATGCTTCTGAACCATGTGCAATTATAGCTCCAGTTTTATTTAATCATATTTAATTATCTTATTATTTTAATTGTATTATCTATTATCTTAAATAATAGCTCCTGTCTGATGTCTGTAATCTGAGTGCTCTTTTTTCCTACTTTAATTCTGCTGTAACATGTGCAACGATGACGAATCTCTGTGGGATGATTAAAGGAATATTTTATCTTTATCCATTACCGGGTCGCAGTAGCAGACTTCCCTCTCCACACCCCAGAGAGGCGTCTTGATCCGTCTCGAGCTTCTCAGCCTGAAGGTCCTGGCTCCGAATCCTGGGTGGAGTTGGCATGTTCTCCCTGTGTCTCTGTAGGTTTCCTCTGGGTGCTCCAGTTTCTCCTACCGCTAAAGCATGTTCAGTAGCAGCAACATCTTGAGAATCTTTCTGTTGGCATTCTATATTTTACAATATGTTAAATAGAAAACATACAGTATGGCTAAAGAAAGAGACATTAAAGCAAAGAATCGCCCTCTCCACTTTTTGAACAAAACTCTCTGGTCTTATTTGACGAGCACAATTCACCATTGATTGACGATTGGGAGGACCAAAAGTCTTGATGATCCACCCGAAAGTAGATCATCCTCCTATACCTTTAAGGTATTTATTTGATTGTAGCAGAAGTCCCTAATATCAGAGCGGATGAAGCTAAAAACTACTTTTGAGTAGAAACAATTTTCTAATCTGGTGAAGGTGACCAATCTTGCACAGTATGTCTTTAAATGAACAAGCTGTATGGAAAACCTATCCATTTTAATAGCATTAGTGTGAGTTGAGTATTCGAACATACAGTATATAACTTGACATTTGCCAACATACAGAGACATGTCCAATGTGTAATCCTAACCCTCTTGTCGATGCTTACATTTCGTTTTGACTTGTAATGCTTGGTGTGATCTGTGAAATGATGAAGATGAGGGGATGAAGAAAGCATGGTTGTTGCCACATCCTTGGACTCACCTTCCGGGGCTGAAGTGTGAGTCACCGCAGCTGCAGTCACAAACCTCCAGGTCACACACTCATACGTACAATTCCTCTGTGTGGGGAGCGTTTTATGTGGGCTAGGGGATGTTAATTAAGTTCTAATTAGTTTACCCTAACCTTAGGCCTAACCTTAACCCTGACCCTGACCCTCATGGTAAAGAGTCAGTTAGTATCTTGTTTCTTGTTGCATGTTGAAAAAGGCCACGTTGACTAAGAACGAATAAGTCCTTAACACATAACAGTTAAGCATAACCATGAATTATACAACAATTAGCACTTAATTATTTATTCCTTTTTTTATCCCCTTCATTAGTCCATTTCTGGGTCAGGGGGATGGGGAGGTCGCAATCATAGCGGCTCATAGCACCAGCCCCTCACTGATCTTTCGGCAGGTATTGGGTCCACGGGAATATGGCTGCTCCAACATTGAAGACCTCCTTGGTGTTTCAGTGGGGGCTACAGGCAAAGTGGAATTAAGTGTCTTGCCCAGAGACATAACAACAGCAGACATCAGAAGGAGCAGGTGACGTGGGTCGTTGGGGGGATCGAACCCACAACCATTAGGTTCCAAGACCAATGCTCTACCAACTGAGCCACTGTCGCCCCAGCACTTAGTGAGGCCTAAACTAAAGAGTGACCGTTTGTTTTCCGTTTAATCTAAAATTTATCTCTGAACAGTGTATCTAAAGCTGCAGAACTTCCGCTTTATTATGGAGTTCTAGACACACTTCCTACAGCTCATCTGGGGGTCCACCAGCTGAGAGATACAGTCCACCAGTTGAGAGACACAGTCCACCAGCTGAGAGACACAGTCCACCAGATACAGTATCCCCTGCAGCTGAGAGACATTGATCTGGGTCACTTTAAATGGACCAAGTCTGGTTCACTTGGGGCCAAAAGTATTTATTTATGAATACATGTGTCCACTAGTCTTTTGAAAAAGATGTGAAGATCATTTCCCCCCTAGAACCAGACTTGGTCTAGTCAAAGTGAACCAGACCAACAAATGTGAACTGGAGGTGCAGATTATCTAACTCAACATGATTCTTTGTAGTAATCCGTCAGGTCGAGACGAATGGGCGGGGAGGCACTGAATTCTGAACGCTAGATTATTCAACCATGGTCAGCTCTATATGATGACAGGGGAACATGGTTTTCAGGAGTGATTTTCCAAGCTTTAACCACATGCAAAAGGATAATTCATTGTTAACTTCTATATTCTTGACAAGACAAATGAGTCCTTCGCCAGCGAGGCTCCACGCCATCCTTCACACAGGCCCAACTCCACAACTCACACTTCCACTGCATGCACCGTGAGGACCGAAGCACCTCTGCCTGCACCGTTAGGACCAAAGCAAGATCTAAACAAGAACTAAATTTGGACTGAACAAGGACTGAAGCCAAGTCAAACCATAAAACGTATATTAGGAGGGGGCTGGTCGAGTGCTGATGTCACCTTAATGTTTTCCAAATGCGTAAGAAACGAATTTTAACCAAAGCTGGCTGGTTGCAATCCTTCCATGGGAATCTGCTCTGATGGGGATGGCTTCCAGCTGGTGGTGGCTAAGGCAAGCTTGAGTTTCCCTCGCAAATGAATGGCTCATACAAAGATAATATCAAAATATAAACACCTGCAACAAATTTTAATCCCAAACATGTGAGAGACATCTAGCTCAGTCACCGTTTGTGTCAATCTGTAGTCTATGAGCTAAACAAGGACTGAACAAGGACAGAAGCAAGAGCAACGCAAACTCATGTCCAATCTTCACACCTAATCCTGGACAGTGGACATTTTGGAGACATTTTCATATTTTATGTTGACTCGTTTCTGTAGGATACATTCCACAAATACGTGTGGAGAGTGGTTGAGAGACTCGTCACACGTTGTTTGTGAAATTAGATGTAATTGGTGTTTCAGCTTCTGCGCTCATAACGCGGCACAAATGAGGCAGGTTGGTATGTGTGTGGTGTGTAGACAAAAGGGAGTGATGTGGAAAACACTGTCTTCAGAGTCTTTGATTTGCTACTGCACAACTGAGTGGGAGAGGATACGTCGTTTCAGAGGTTCAAGGCCTGTTACAGCAGGAGGGAAAGTTTTATCTAAACATTCTTTATACTCTTGAAGCAGGAGTCTTGTTTTACCTCAAATATGTTTGACTTGGAAAGAGAATACATGCTATTTTATTGAGCTTAAAACAAGACTTAAAAGGTATATGAGGTTTTTCCCAAATTTTAGGAAAGAACCGCCCTCTCCACCTTCAGGGCAAAACTCTCTGGTCCTATTTGATGAGCACAAATCACCAGAATGATTGACAATATTGGGAGGAGCAATAGTCTTGATGATCCACCCAGAAGTAGAGATTCCTCCTACATGACTTTAAGATAAGTTGTTGTCATCTCGATAGACTTTAGAAAGTTATTGATTTGCCCACACAGATTAGAGACACCATTGGTCCATAAGAGACAGATGACCAATGTCCATAAATGTTAATAAAAATAGCCAGGATCATCACCACTGTCCTTAGGTCCAAAAACCCATTGTGAAAAAGTGAGAAACATCAGGGAATCATACAGCTCATTCTTCTGAAAGACACAACAAGTTTACAGATGACATCACACAGCATTAGGTGGAGGGAAGAGAAATCATGACATAATAAAAAGATAGTGTCCAAAATACACTACAATATTTGTTTGTCTATGTTTACTATTTAAGAACAAAACCATTAAATGTTTTTTGTACCAGATGTCCCTGATATTAGTGCAGATGGAGCTAAAACCATTCCCGGTCTGTTTTGGATGAGGAAAAATGTTGGGACATGATTAAAATCTTTTCCTCAGCACTCAAGCAATAAAAGATCAATGTCTGTGTTATTATTGTGATTTGTCCCGCTGCCTCGACTGGTGAAAACTGCAGGGACTCGTGTCTTGTTGAGAATGACTTTGTTCTGGCTTGTTGAGACAAAATGAGATTCCCAAAAGAATGGAAAAGTGCTTCAGTAGAGTGTGTGTTCGGCAAACAAAGAGGTTGGATGTCAAGATAAAACCATGCAGTCTGACTCTGGCAGGTTATGGCCTACAAGTCTAGACAGCAAGTTCTCTTATCACATCCCACCAAATCCGTTCTGGGAAATGGTGATTTGGACAATATGAAAAGCATATATGACAATTCATAAAATTAATAGAGCAGGGGAAAAAAAATTATGTGTGTAGCCCACAAATGAAGATATAGTTGTGAATTATTGGGCCGATAACGTTTTTACCTGAAAATTTACTTGACAAAAACCCTAGTTTTTTTTTTATTGTACTTAATATATTCTGCACAGACTATATTTTTAACCTAAACATGTTTCCACACTTCTGTCTTTTGTGCAATCTCAAGTGTGAGATGAATACAGTCTATCTTATCTTATACAAGCTCGTCAAAGAAAACATGAAGGTTTTGTTCAAAAAGTGGAGAGGGCTGTTCTTTTCTAAAATTCTCCTTACTTGACAACTGAGTCTGTATACATGCAGACTCAGACCTCTCTTGTCTCAGTATACATACAGACTCAGACCTCTCTCTCTCAGTATACATACAGACTCAGACCTCTCTGTCTCAGTATACATGCAGACTCAGACCTCTCTGTCTCAGTATACATACAGACTCAAACCTCTCTGTCTCAGTATACATACAGACTCAGACCCCTCTGTCTCAGTATACATACAGACTCAAACCTCTCTGTCTCAGTATACATGCAGACTCAGACCTCTCTTGTCTCAGTATACATGCAGACTCAGACCTCTCTTGTCTCTGTATTAATGCAGACTCAGACCTCTCTGTCTCAGTATACATGCAGACTCAGACCTCTCTGTCTCAGTATACATGCAGACTCAGAACTCTCTTGACTCAGTATACATACAGACTCAGACCCCTCTGTCTCAGTATACATGCAGACTCAGACCTCTCTGTCTCAGTATACATGCAGACTCAGACCTCTGTCTCAGTATACATGCAGACTCATACACGATAGGACTTCATCAGACTTGACCGTAGCCCTTTGGCTGCAGTTCCTCGCTGCTTTGTTAGCGCGTTGTTTGGAATGCAACGGGATGATGGAAAAGTACAGCTCCAGAATCTTGATGAGCCCAGGGACCGCGCACGTCTCCTCTCAATGGGGAAGCAAGGCCCTGCATCTGCAAACAAATCAGAGACAGAGCCACGGAAGGACTGTGTGTGTGTGTCATAGACCGCAATTGGAGTGACCAACAGTCCTGATGACACCATAGTGTTTGCAGAACGTGTAAAAAGTGTTGCTAAGATCCGATTGCAATAACCCATAAGGGTGAGGGTTACACAAACAGTGACTGAGCTAGAGGAGATGGAGAAACTTTGTTCATGAGCACTTCCCTTTTGAGCTTGAGGGTTAGCATTGTCATGTATACAGTCTATGATATGTGTGCGCGTGTATGTGTGTGTGTTTTTATGTGTGTGTGCATGTGAGAGGAGAGGGCGTTATGACTATGTGGGGACCCCATGTGAACACACTTTTTATGTTTGCAGGGACCAACAAAGTAATTTTATACTATGTGTTATAGAATCCTTCATATTTTCTAAAGACATTCCACAATCCATCCATCCATCCATCTTCTTCCCCTAAATCCATTTCTGGGTCGGGGGGTGGCAGTCAGAGCTGCACCCAGTACACACAGCACCAGCCCCTCACTGATCCTCCTGCAGGTGGTGAGTCCACAGGAGCTTTGATCTTTCAGCGGGGGCTTCAGGCAAAGTGGGGTTAAGTGTCTTGCCCAAGGACACAACGACAGCAGACATCAGTGTAGGTCTTGAGGTGGGCTCAAACCCAGAACCTTCAGGCCCAAAGGCCAATGCTCTACCCACTGAGCCACTGTCGCCCCTTTACAGTGAAATGGCCCTGTTTTTAGTTCATGTATGTTTGTTTTTGTGTGTCTGCATGTCGCCGAGTTGAAAATTGAGCTAGTCATTCTTGCACTTGTACTTGTTGTGTGGTCATTAATAAAATATTCTGATATGTGTCCTTTAAACTATCTTCATGGACAATGCTGCAGTTTGGTTCAAACGTTATATTCCTATGTATCCAGTGCCGGCCCCCAGCCCCTCCACACCCCCATCCCCACAGATGCGTAACTGCGAGCTCTGTAAACACAACATATGGCTCCTCTGAGGATATGCTGGCTAATTGTCTGTTTATTTTTATTTCTGTTTCATCATTATTTCCTTGTGGATGAAAGCCGGGAGCCATCTCCGCTGGGGGCCCGTCGGTCTGCCGAATACAAGCCTGCGCCGTTAGCACACTGTGGGCTTTGAGGGCTTGGGGCTCCGCAGGGGCCGCTGCAGGGGCCTGGATTGTTGTGGCAGTTGACTTTAAATGCTTTTTATACAAATAATGTGTCGGTATAAATGTTGTAAAGGGGGTTTCAAGTTGTGAGTTGCTCACTGATCTCTGACAGGTTCAGTTATTGGGTTCTCTTTTTACTCTGTTACAAGATAGTTTCATCATAAAAACATTTTGTTTTTAGCAACATCCACAATAAGATGCATAGGTTATGCAGTTTTCACCACACGCTCAGACAGCTTCCCATGGAAATGTATCAGAAATGTTCTGCACCTTTACATCCCTAATTACACATGTATCTACAGTATAGATATAATATTTCAGTTTTTAGTGTTGAATTAACATTATACAATATTTATTTTTCCAATCAGCTCCCATGAGTGGTCTTCTTGGGGTCCACTTATATAGATTTATATTTAAATGTTTGTATGGGATTTATAAATGTTATTTTTGTTTTTTAGTATAGAGCTTTCTTGTACTAATTGCTTCACTTATCTTATTTTGTGTGCTCCTCTTTCCTGTTCTGTAACCAGGGATGCAACACTGAACTTTCCCCTCTCAGGAATCAATAAAGGATGCCTCCTATGCATCTTAATATTAAAGTGCTGATATATGTGAGAAAGTGCATTATATGATTGATTGTTAATAACTGTTAAAAGTTAACTATATCTAGTTTGGATAGTCCACGACAGAAAAAATCCTGCAACCAGATGTGATTTGAATCACGTCCGTTGTTTCTAAAGTTTTTGTTCACTGAACTGCTGAGAAACCTTGAACAAGAAACACAGAATTAAAACACGATGATCCTACAGATGATATTCAGGAGGTTTCAGTGAGAAGGGTACAGTATGTTTTCAGTGACATGTGATGAAGCAGAGCGTGTCAGGAGGAAACGGGACAGCTGCAGGAGGCCCCTGGGAGCATGGCCGTCACAGAGGCTGATGGTGGGGGAAGAGAACCTAGACAGGACACATATCTGAAGTGTTCATGTTGGTCTTCAAACATGATCCATAATCTTTGATTATGTCGTGCTGTCTGACACGTAACCTACTAGCTCTAAGAAAGTCTTTGGTGAAGTTCTCATGGTAAATCTTGGCTTCCGTAAACTGCCCTCTTTGTGTGTCACACTCACTTTTTTGGCTTAAGAATCTGTGGTTAACCACTGGTAATTTTAATATCATCAATTAGAACAACCGACCAAACTGTGCCATTCCTGATTGACTCTTTGGTTGCTAGGTTGTTGCTACCCTCAAATTTGCCTTCAGATTCCATCCCAGAGAGCCTGTTTGATTAAGCTCTAATCCATTGAGCATGTTTGGGTTAGCTCCAATCCCCATGGAGCCTGTTTGAGTTAGACCTTTTTCCCCACAGCCCCTGTTTGAGTACGCTTGAACTTCAAGGAGCCTGTTTGAGTTACTTCTAATCCCCATGGACCATGTTTGCATTGACCAGGTATCAACAACCCTATGGCCACGGGTGCAAGGACCACAGAAAGCACCGTGCCTGTAAGATGCTATAAACCAGTTCTGAGCCTGGACTGAGGCAAGACTGAACCAGGATTGAACCAAGGAGGCTTTTAATCTAACTTAACATTTATTTTGTGTCCAAAGTGAAATTATTGAGAACAAATCAGACAGCAGCCTATCTTTACCTTAATGAAACGTTGGCAGAGTAGAGAAAAAGCTGATCCAAACATGTGACAGAGGCCAAAAATACTGCAGAGTCTATGGTGGAAAGTGACAGAACTACACTGTTTCATAGCCAGGTCCTAGTGACTTTTGATTTTATCACAGAGCTACATCTTCAGTGGTAGTTGAGTTACCAGAATCTGCAGTAGTTACCCTATAATAAGAGTTTAAATAACACCCCCCTTGATTATTATACTCAAAATAATATATTAATAACTGTGATGGGAGACCTATGAGAACACCTGGGGCCACAGAGGGGCAACTGTGGCTGTGACGTGCCAAAAAATAGTCTACAATGAGTCTGGTGTGTGCATGAGTGATTGGTGGTCAGAGGGGCTGATGGCGCAAGCTGGATGCCTCACTTCTGTTAGTGTGTCCCAGGGCAGCTGTGGCTACAGTAGTAGTTTATCAGCAGCATGTATGGATGGAATGAATACTGACGTGTGAAGTGACGCTCTGAGTGTCCACAAAGGCACTATACAAACCAATGCATCAAATATCAACGCTCACATGTTCTTGAAGTCACATATTTGTTTAACTTTGACATTTTTTCTCAACATTTGGCCCTACATGAAAGTACCTAGAAACTAACTTGAAAGATGATATGGATGACTTTCTTGTTAACATGTAATATACTCCCGGTGACAAGCAGCCGTCCACTTGCACAAACCGGTATGAACTGGTAATCCATTTCTATAGGGTCCAGGGGGAATGTGGGGCGTCCACTGTGACACTCGTAATCCGGGTCAGGTTCTGGCTCGATGCGGCGGTGACCCAGGTTAGATCCATACCTGAGGGGATAAGGAAAAGTGATGATGAGGCTCTGGTCGTCCAGCTGGTCAGCGGTCCGACAGGAGCTCATGTGAGGATGTGAAGTCTGCTTTAGTCAGTATTTATATATTTTTTTAAACATCACTGTGATGCGTGTTATGTGTCCAAACTTAAAAAAGTAATATGATGCTGTATATTTGGGTCTTAAAAATAATAATAATACTTTTACTTTGGCATTTAATGTTTTAGAATCTACAATTATCTAAAAGATGTAATTAGGTTAGAATTTTTTTTTCTCTACCTGTGTATACAATATCAGAAAAAATGCACTAAATCCGGATTAGCATCTAACCAGTAGTGCAAGTATAGGATAATAATTACTACACAAATAAATATATATGCATATTTGTGAGACTGTGCAAATCTGCTTTTGCAGTACAGTATATGAATTATTTAAGTAAACATACAGTATTTGTTGCGACTAAGATCTCTAATCTTAATGGGTTTTTTATTATGATGGAGCGTCCTGTGGAAAGGATTTCAACACAGCTCTATCAGCTGTTGATTTCTGCTTACCGATGTGTTTAACAGCAGAGAAATACACGGATATATATGGTATGGTGGACATATATATACTTTTTATATACGACAGAGAGTGTCCTCCTCTGCCTTCGAGGTCACACTTGACGGTGTGATGTGTCTCTTATCAACTGTCAACAACTGTTACCAGATGCGGCCATTTTGACACCATCACTGTGTGCTCTTATACTGTCCTGTATGTGCGCTGCAACTTAAACATTTCCCCACTGTTGGACAAATAAAGGGTCTCTTATCTGATCACGTATTTCCGCTGACAAAGGCGGAAGTCTGCCGTGGAAACATGTCAGGTAATTAAGTTTAGTTAGTTAATTAGTTTCTCTACACTCTTTGTCCTATTAAAACTTTTACAGAGCCACTCTTGATATATTTCAGAACTCTACTGTCTTTCTCCTCTTCTCAGTTTGTCTACTTCCAAAACGGCTTTTCACTTTTGTTGTCTGTTCCACCGATCACCTATCCCTGGACTCTGTACTTACCTGTGATTACTCATTCATCATTAAAGCTGGGATATCTTACTTTGAAACAAGAAAATATTTACTTCAGAAACAAATCCATATATCTCTCAAAACAGTTTTCTTCAATCACACATGTATTTCTTTGTCACATCTTTTCAGACATAAAAATGGAAAGAAAAGCACTCAGCCTATCATCTCTCAGCCCAAAGCGTCAAATAGTAACTGGCAGGGCTCTCATTACAACAAACATGCTCATTTGTATTTAATTAACAATAGTACAAAATCCATTAGTAGTTCTTTGCCAAAAAATAGACCTGGAGTTATGTTTAGCTCCATACACGATAAAATCAGTAACTTCTGTCATTAAAAAGGCACACCTCCCCACTCCGTCAGTCTAAATGCTCTGTTTTGCACAAATCCTACTTTTTCACGGCATGAACAGAGTCGTTTTCTACCTTTTTAAAACCACCTCTAACATTTATGATTTTCTCCAGTCAAATTGCATTCATTACCACTGTCTGCCTTCACTTGGAGCGCAGCATGTCAGAGACCGAACACAAACAAAGCATCATATGTGTTCTTTAATGCCAAACTCACTTTTTTCGTAAAATCCTCTATATTCTGCTTGCTTGGGTTGCCGTGGCGCTCGGAATAACAGGGACACGGTGCATGAAGCCAGATGGCAGAACCGCGTAATTGTTGGCGATGAGCAACGTGTCTCCCATTAGAGCGGGCTCCAGCAGGCTTCAGCGGGGGCCCTGCTTGCATAATTGTGATTTGGGGGAAAATATTGGCTGATTAAAGTCAAATGCACCGCGCTGGACGCTCTCACAAAGGCTGAGAGAGGTCTTATGGAAAAACAGGGGATTATTATACACGTGTTTGCTCAATTTTTCCACTCGGATTACAAACCATAAACTCTTCTGTTTGTTTTGTGCATATTAATAAGAATTCATATTCCTATGGCCGGATGGACTGATGCTTTTCTTTACTCACAAGACGTCTTATCTATAATTATCCTCAAGTGGTGGAGTTTGGGGTCTTGTTCATGAGTGAGGGCAGGGCGGAGCAGCGTCTATATTCAGAGCTTTATTGGCCTATTGTGGAGAAGAGGAGGAAGCTTCCGCAGTCAGAGCTTTGTAGGCCTGTTGTGGTGAAAAGGGAGCAACGTCTGCAGTCAGAGCTGTCCAAATCAGTTATCTTTGAAGAGAGTGAAGTGCTCAGTCATACGGCAGGAGCTCGGAGTAGAGCCGCTGCTAGAGGTAGAGGTGGCTTAGAGCTCTTTTTGGGATCCATCAGAATCCCAAAAAGATTCTGGTGGATCCCAAAAAGTTTTTATACCACATTATAACGCTGCTCCCCTGATCAGAAAACTGTGTTCTTACAGGGAATTTACACAGTAGGCGTAAACAGCGCGTACGCGTTTACTGCGCGCTCTCTTAGACACAAGTGCTGTGTGTGTAGATGCGATCTAGAGCCAAGGACCGCTAGAAAAATCATGTTTTACATGAGATTTCAATGGGAGACACGTTGGTGCGCGCACAAAATTAGAAATCCATCCTAAATTAGAGCGCAGCTTCGCGTCATACGTCCGTCATACACACGTATAACGCTAGAAGTGTAAATATCATCATAGGTTAACATGGAAAAAAGTTACGCGCGTCTGCTGCTTTTTTTCACAAATACTTCACATTGAGTCATTTTCAGTGTTTTTAGAACGTTTTTCAGCACGTCCCACGGGGAGGAGGTCACGAGGAGACCCAGGAGACATTGTAGGAACTACCTTGAGATTCCCTCAGATAACAGGGATGGCAGTCACAGAAATAATGGTGTGGGCAAAATTGAAGGCATACAGTGGTATATAGCAGCAGCAGTAGTAGTCTAAGTAGAGACAACCAGACTTCACTTTCCACACACTTTTTCCAGCTCATCTGGGGCGATCCTGTGGCGTTCACAGGCCGCCATTACAGCCGTCATTTCTCTCACAGTCCGGATCCACTCAACTCAGCCTTTTCCTCATTTCCCTGTCAACCTGTTTGGTCTTGGCAATCTCCACACCTGAGACTCATCACTGCAATATTAGAAAAGTACCACCGCAGCCACTCTTTTTCTCAGTTTGTTTTTCTTCACATTCTGTTCAGTCCACTTCTTCACCTGTCTGTCTGTTCCTCAACATTATTTGATCTATTTACACAATACACCATACATACACATTTGTGACAATTCCTATGTTAATGTACAGCCCCTTTCATTCATTCTCATAGTATCAGTTCATAGTATCCCACATGGTCTGCCTGATACCTCATTTCCCACGTTCAAAGGTCTAAGTTTACGATTGCGGTTTGTTTTTTGTTTCATCATCACCGTGAATCGTGTTGGCAAAATGAAATGTCAGCGTTTGCATCCTCCCCTCGGATTTTAACAGTCAAATCAATAAAATGTTTCTCAAGGCCCGAGACGAAATGCCTAGATTGTAGTTGCTGCAAGCCTCTGCATATGTGCGAAATCACAGCCAGTAAACATACGGCATTCAACACTAGAAACTTACTTTGTGTAGGTCATCTCTATGTTTTTAATAAAGTAGGTAAAGTTTTAGATTGCATTTTATTATGTGAGATGAAGGAAATCATATGTCTAATTTGGAACCTAATTATGTACAGAGACAGCTTTTATCACAGAGCAGTCACATCAGATGCACTATAATGTTTGTATAAACTAGCAAAAGCGGCTTGTACAGTTTCACATTCTGTATATGCAAATATGTTTATCTGTATTGTAAATATTATCCTTTACTTTAGCTATTGCACTACTGGTTAGATGCTAAACTGATTTGTTTTTGCATTGCTCTGACTTTGTAATGACAATAAAGTTGAAGCTTATCTAATCTAATCTACATGCACTGTATATAGTACCTCAAAAATTCAACTTTTTCCCGTCATTTTCCCACAAATACTCTTCATAATATGTGATTCCGACTGCGGCTGCTTGACACGGTGACTTTTTCCATGATCCCAAATTGCTTCCAAACTTGTATTCTTCCTGGCTTGAAGTTTGGCTGCTTGTATCTCAGACGTGACAGGCCTTCCTCCCACTCGCGCCGACTGAAAAGCAGCCAGTGCAGTGGATGTGATCTGGAGACAGGTGCTCGGCTTCTCACACACTGCTCTAATAAAAGTGTGTCTCCGAATGGGCACTTGCTGCTCTGGGTTTATTCCAAGTTGAGAAGTGGCTTGGTGCTAATGCGAGAATCCACCAGAAACTTTGAGATATAGTAAGATATAGACATTTCTGCAGCATGTTTGGACATTTATCAACATTCATGGACATTGGTCTCTCCCTATGATCTTAACTGTTGATTCTCTGATCTGTGTTGGTGTTTTTAATGGTTTTGTTAAGTCCTCTGAGATGTGCTGTTGTGATTTACGGCTATATAAGAATAAGTTGTATTGTATTGTATTGTATTGTTTGTTTTTATACCACACCTGTTTTTTCTCCTACGGGATCAATAAAGTATCTATCTTTATATTTACATTATTACACTTTTTATACCACATTATTTCCCCTCATCAGAAATTTACATCCATTCTGTTCCAAAATACTTTACACTGAGTCATTTCCATTGTTATTATAAGGAACATTTTATGGAGTTTTACCTTTTTTACCAAAAATGCCATTCGTATTACCATTTCATTCAGCCATGGACAGTTTAAACAGTTCTTCTATTAATTCAGTTTTTATTGTAATAATAATAATAATATAATAATGATGATAATACATAATTATTTGTATAGCACTTTTAAAAAACAATGTTTACAAAGCTATATTTTATTTCCAGTTTGAATGTGGTTTCTGTAGGAGGAAAAACATTCTTAACGTTTTTAAATGCTGTAAAAATGTGCGTAAGTAATATTCAATTTCAACATTGCTGTCAACGTAGTGCGTCATATCCGGTGACGCGGCCGCTGCTGTAAACAAACCGGCGTGTGCGCTTGGATCCCAGAGCTAAAAAGAGAAAGAGTCGATAATAAAACTGGAC